CCCCCCCCCCCCCTTTGCACTTTTTACCTGGATACCTGGAGGTGTCATCTCTGACTCGGAAGTTGACAGGTATCAACCATCCATCTTTCACGGTCGCGAGCAGCCGTTGCACATTCTGCTATACTCACTCATGCCAGTCCATGTTTTTATGTTGTCCATCCATGATACTCTTAGTCTTCACCTCGCTCTCTGCCCGACATCTTTCCTTCAAGCACTTCTTTCACAATGGTCTGGCTTTCATTGATGGTGGCAATAGTATTTTGTTTAGTCAAACGATGACTTTAAACTACGACCAGATTCAACAGATTCGATAATTTTGTGTATTACGATGGCGCGTTATCCTTCAAGCATTTTCTGACAAAAAGAGGCCAACTTGCTCATAATTTTATTTTTTCCTCAGACAGAAAACCAGTGCAGTATCCGTTATAGAGGTGTAGCAGAGTCTCTCTTTCTTTCCCGTAAAAACTACACTTGTAGAATTGTTTTGAAGAGCTTGCAGTCTTTTCACTTTCTCCAGCGATATTCCTGAAAACAAAGAGTTCTAACAATCAAGTCCTGATCATACCAAGCTATTAACTAGTAAAGGAAGAAACGTAGTAATAATTTGACAACCTATTTTACTGGGGGTTTTTGTCTTATTTTTTTGTCCACGCAGTTGATAAGATGATTTATCTCATGATCTTCTTCATAACCTGCGCCAGCTTATTATATTGGTTCGTGTATACAGAATTGGAAAATAAAATGAGGTAATGGGTAATATGTGTCATACCAAAGACGGATACACATATAAAATAGCAGTTAAGTTGTCATATGAACCCCCGCACATCCATCCCACTACTCACGAGTATCTGCTTTTGTGCCCAGAAACCAAACGCACAAAAATGGTTTCTTTATAACAAAACAAACAAATGAAAGAGGAGACTTTCAATAACTATTTCTTATTTTTTTACGTCTCATAACGTCATAAAACGAGAACATGCCTGTTATCGGAAAATAAGTTGTTGCAATTACAGAGATAGTAGCCCCTCTCCCAGTGACAGGCGTAGATGAGATGGGTTTGGTTTGTACAGACCACAGCAGGTGGATAAAGACAGATGGTGCTTTCTTCTTTACACCCCCCCTCCCTTTTGTCCCAGCCAATTATTATTATTTAAATATTTATAGTTGGTGACTTTTAAAGTGCTACAATATAGGTGCGTACATCTCCTTGTGGAAGTCAAATCCAGTCTCATGATAAACGTAACTATTAACTTTCACTAC